AACGCCTCATCTCCTTTCACACGCCCATCGTTCCATGTGCCTTCTTTTCATCTTTTCAATGGTTTTTCGGATCATTGGATGCTGGTCGTAATCGACTTAACATGAAAAAGCCTCCTATACATTCTCATATTTTTCCGTTTATTAATTAACCATTTGAATTCATTCAAACGACATTCTCACTCTATGTTATATCCCTTTTATTATATATTTTTTTCATATTAATTTACTTATATATAGCCATTTAAAGTGTATTATCATATACACGTAAATTGTAAAAACGTATAAATAAATTTCATTATGATTATTCTAATAGGGATCTTTTTTATAATATGTTAAAAATCTATTATCCATAATAATTCGTCTTCTATTTAAAATAGAATAATTATTAAAGAATATTTTTAATAAATATTTAAAGAATATTAAGAAATGTACCTATAAATGCATCTTTTCATAATGATAGCCTACTTATTATTATTATTTTTTTTAATTTGTTATTATTCTTCATTTTAAACTATTTATATTAAAAAATAAACTGAATTAATGACATATATTGCTTATTTGAAAGATTAATGATAGAGAATTAATTTTAGATTAATTAATATTATTTTAAGGTATAATAGTAAATAATAAACATTTATGGTAATTATCATTGAATAAAACTTATCGTTATTCCAAAATATCGAACAACTTAATGAAAATTTCTATAAATTAATTAAAATTAAGGCAACAAATCAGGTTTTATTAGAAATGATTGAATAAATTTACTGTTCGAAGTCATTGCAACATGAAACATTTAATAAATAAACAATAAACTTCTTTATATTGCATCTATTATTGCATGTGATTCAATAAAAGTTTTAATGTAATAATAAAATACTTTGCATTACATGTAAAAATTGTTTACAATGAAATATACTTGTTTTACTAATAGTTTATGCGTTTATACCAATATTTCCATTTTTTTTTTTTTTTATCAATTACATTTTGATTTTATAATTAATGATTTTGATGCAACACCTATTTTCGTTCACACTAATAATAAATTCTTATATGATATTTGTGCACCATAAAATTATAATTATATTAATAAATTTATAAATTATATTAAAATTATCGCTAATGAATTTAATAAATTAAAAAAATTATTCTCAATACTTTTTTCGCCATAAACTTTGCCTCTAAACTCTTCCAAATGTAACATTATTTATTTCTAATTTAATATTATAAACTATTTTGTTTAATGTATAGCGGTAAATTTATATGTAAATAAAAGGAAAAGATATCACAGAATGTTTTAAGTAAATATTTAGTAACATTGAACAGGTGCATAAAAGTTTAACTTCAAATTATATTTTACTACTTGCTAACAGAAATATTCACATGTTACTAACTTTAAATTTTATAGACGTGAGCTATTAATTTAAAATTAATTAAATTCGTGAATTATTTTTAACATTTATATAATCACTAATGACTAATAACTGTAAATAAACAAATAATTATGATTTTTATTATTACTCCTATTGGCAGTAATTTTATGTATCGACTGAAACCATCAATAACATTTATTAAATAACAAACAGACAGAAGTACAAACCAACTCATGTAATTAGGCATAATTTATATTAATATGTTTAAATGTACTCAATATCTTATAAACCAAATTTTAATTCCATATAAGCATATAAATATAGTTTTGTTCACAAAACGAAAGATAATATATTAAATTCTAATGATGATTATTGATAAAAGTATACTTTTCATTGTCTGTAGTATAGATAGATAGATAGATAGATAGATAGATAGATAGATAGAGATAGAGAGAGAGAGAGAGAGAGAGAGAGAGAGAGAGAGAGAGACAGAGAGAAAGAGAGAAACACTGACATAACACATTAGTAAAAAATTTGGTAATTTATTTTATTTTATTTATAATTAACTATAGCCTCCTTCGATGAAAACGAAAAATTAAATAATTAAAACAATGTTGATAATTATGATTGATTATTAATTATGGTAGGAAATATTTTTAACTAAAACAACAATTTTTGTTTAACATAATTATAAAAGCTAATTCAAACGAATCATCCCATATATTACTTTATTAGCATTTTTTAATTATTTTTATTTTCATTATTTTTTTTATCGTTTTAATTAAAAGCTATAGAGTGCGAATATAATTAAAAATGTTAACAAGATTTAAATTACGTATTGTTTTGAAGTTGCACTACTTATACGTACATTTTTTAGTAATGTCATATTAAATTAACAAATATTTATGTTTTTTAAAAACTTTAATGCACTAACATAATATAATAATGAAATTATTATTATGTAATTCATTTGATGTTTTATTATTCAACTTTTTATTATCAAGGAAGAATTAAAATAAAAAATTATTATGCCTATACACATATAATAGTTGTTCGTGCAATGACCCTCATTATATTACAACCCATTTATAGTAATTACTTTCTTATATACCTGTATACATATTTGGAATATGTTAAAGAAACGTAAGTGGCATGAAAGTTGAAGCAAATAATATCAGGATCGTTAACCAAAACCGGATTGTGGATTCATCTCAATTAGTTTTATAAAATAATTCTTTTTATACAAGGAGATAATAAATATCATACAATAATAATTACGATTTAAACATGTACTACTTTTTCTTATCATTACACCTTACTTGAAATATGTATTTCTATACTACATTAATTTTGGTATTTATTATTAATTACTCTCTACTATATCTATACCTTACTATATATGTATTTCATAAAAAACAAAAATGTTAGAAATATCATAATTAATATATTTCACGGTAGAATCTACATATTAAGTACAAAAATTATTCATCAAATTGCAATGATAGACAACTACACTATTTTACAGAAAAATCTTTCAATTAGATAGAAAAAATTACTGATATTTGGTCAATAAAAGAGAATGTTTTGTTTGCTTAACCTGCCTTCTCCTTCAAGTTTACATAGTCGATGAGATATTTTCTTATCACCTTGTACATACAAACTATTTAAGTATTACCGTTTCAAGGAACAAGTTCTTTCATCGTTTCATACATTATGCAATTTATTTCGCAGAAGCGCAAACTGAATACGATATTTTACATCTTTAATATTTGCATGATAAATTAGAATAAAAATTAATCAAGACATTTACAGCGGATTATGATTGTAATTAGTCTATGTAATAGAATAAATAATTTATTTTTAAATAGCCTTATAATTTAAAGTTGAAATATTTATTATATAATTCTACATAATTTTTTCATTTAAAATTATTATAATACCATCGATATATTCTTCATTACATTAGTTTTTTGACAAAATCCTATAAGACGTTAATTAAAATGTATCGGGAATTCAATATATTCAAAATATTTAGGCTAATTTGATCATCGACAAATATAATATTTTGTAATTCGATTTCATTAAAAACTAATTATTAATGCAGTATATTTCAACCAATCAAATAATAGACTAAAATTATAATATCAATAAGCTATTCATAAAAAGCTAACGAAAATTAATAATCACAGAATATGTTTTTAAAAATTACGCATTCATTTTTTACATAATTTAAACGAATATATATATATATATATATTATTTTGTTATATATTTATATTTATATTATCTTATATGTATTATTTTGTATATTTGCCCAATAAAAACAATCTTAATAATAATTGTTAATTAATTAATAAGATCATTAATGTGATCTATCATAGAAATATAATTATATAAATAAAAATCATAAGAAACAAATAAAAATATTATAAATGTAAGTAATTTTGTTTTACTTATTAATTATTAAAATGAATCTTAATAATGAATATTTTGAATTAATTTATCGGAATTTATTTAAAATCATCTCGTAAAAACTCTCAAAAAATCTATTCACAACAATGTTCATAAGTTATGATTTTTCTTCATATTCTATTAAATTTCATTAAATAGAGAATAAATAAAACTGCAGCATTTATCGCTTCTATTATTGTTTATGAGTATAAATTATTTGATGTTATCAATCAAATTTTCGAAAAATTTATTTGTATTTAAAAATTACATATTAAAAAATTATTAGAAAAATTGTCCAGTATGGAAAAACTTTTATTGTGAAATCCTATCATAAAGTTATATATAATATTATTATTTCTTTAATAAATGGTAGTTATGATAAATCCATACAAATAAGCATGTTCGTGTCAATCAACAAAATTTTACAACCTTCTCACGGCTTAACAACGTAATTCTCAATAATAGAAGGGTACGACAAGTAAGTATGAATGTTTTCGGAACACGTAGCTACTAATCTCCTCGCTTAATCAACGTTCATCAATTCTACAATACGCACTGTCGATGTAAATTACCACACAGAGTTAACTTGTGTTACCTTATGGTAACACATTGGTGGCAGTAATGTGTGATTACGGTTTGTTCCGAAAGCCTGTTTAAGGAAATTTTAAAACCTACCAATCGATTTTTATTTTACCATTCAATGAGAAGATGATGCTCTCTTTCACTCTAAATCCCTTTTCAATACTTATATTATTTTCTTGACCATAACTCTGTAGCTTAATTTTACTCGAGATTATGTATAGAAGAAAAAATGTATAATATAATATGATATATAATATAGGCCTTAAATGATCAAAGCCTTATCTAAGTTAATATTATGTTTACGGTATATTATATATTATATATGGTTAATAGAATCAAAATGTTTACATCATAA